TGATGCAATTAGAAAATGCCCTTGGAACATAACATAAAACATTGTGAATGGAACTTCGAAGTCAGAAGTATTTGTAATATAAATATGCCCATTAATAAAATCTCCTTTTCTATACTCATGAAGTAAAGGATCAATCAAAGTTGGTTTTTCATTCACTTTACCAACATCTTTAGTAAAATGAATAGATATATCAATGGCTTTTGAATACTCATTATCAGTTTTGGTTAAACTACGCAAATTGTGAATATTGTTTATAATAGTCTCTGTCCAATTATTGGTATTTTCATCAGTAATAATCAAGTTTTCATCAATCGAAGTATCTTCAAAGCTTAATCTGCTTAAAGAAGACGTCAAGTTATTACTAAAATTATAATTAGTAGCAGTATCGTTTGGTTCATGTCTTAAATTCTCGTTACTATTCGACTCGTAAGCATTACTTCCTGAAGATTCACCTTCATCAGAGTAAATTGAATAGGCCGGTAAATCATCCCTTACCGATCTAGCCAACGTATGCGTATGCATATCATACGAAGGTAAGATAGACCAAACCGGATCGTCTGTTGCCAACTGCTGGTTTTGGAAATCGTCCTTAAGCATGTTTTGTTGACTCATCACTTACAAAAATGCTAAAGTTAGGCAACCACCTTCATCCATTAACATATATTCAAATATATATATATAGGTATTTGCAATACCCCGGTCGCAAAATCCCTCCCAAACCGGTAATTTTGAATCCGCTAAAGGCATTTTCAATATGACTCAATCAACAAGTTCCTTCCACAAGCTTCGATCACTCTAAATTTAGTTGACGCATTGTCGCAGGGAAGCTTATCATTTGGGGGATCGCTCAACGGCCGAGTTGATTGGCCCTAGTGGCTTGTCTGCGTTCGTTCTGGCAATTAGATTAGTAGTATTGATTACAAATGCTAATTATATATTATAAAATACGTGGAATACATGGAAGATTCCACCATGCCTATGCAAGATACTGCTGTTGAAAAGTTTGTTTGTCTAAAATTTGTGCTGTTTCATTTGCAACCATCTTATTCGATGGTTACAGGAATATAAATTACTTGTTTACCACGAGAAAACTTTAAGATGAGTTTGATAAAATATAATCTTGCCATATAGCAGGTTTGGAAATTTGGAATCAAGGTGAATCCTCCAAATCGGTTATACTGGACTGCTTTATCTAATTTCTTGATGTGCATCGACTTGAGTTTCACAACGGCGTCGATGCTTAAGGATTTTGTTTTCCTTTCCTGATTTGGTTTTCTATTATTTATATTTTTAAGCTTGTTTTTCAAATTTTCATTTTGATTATCTTGAGTAGAATCGTAGTTTACTTTGCACTCTATATCGTCAATTTGTAATTCATGGTAAACGCATTTCAAGTTTGACATTCTTCTGATATTTTCGTATAAGTAGCTGCCCAGTTTAAAAGATTCGTTGTTTTTAGATAGTGTTTTCTTAACTTCTTTGAAAAGTTTGTGATATGGGTCACTGATGATATTTTTGAAATTTGTATCCTCGTGGCTGTTATTGAAGATCATATCTGGAACAATCATGAATGGAATTGAACTAGTTGCAGAATCAACTGTTACCAGAACCAATTCACACTCGATTGATTTCAATTTGACCTTTGATGCACTTTCGAATTTAATGGGGATCTTGATCTGTTGATTAACGTCCGGATGTTTTGATATTGGCGGAGTATATCTCAACGTAAATGGTTCATGCATAGATATAATCACTTTCGTTCTAACTTCTCCAACGGTGAACGTTTTTTCTAAATCAGTATTGCAGGTACCCTCTTTGATTTCAAATAATTTAGATATCATTTGATCGTATTTCTTTTTATCATATATTCTCAATTCCTGCTTTAATCTGCTATGAAAGAATTGATAATTTTTAACAATCGATGGATCGTTACTATTATAATTTCTTGGGATAATTCTTATCCTACGGTCTCCATGTCCCATCTTAATGAATTCCTCTTTGGTTTCCCCTATCAAATATGAATTGATAGAATACTTTATTGAAGTATAATCAATTCCAAAATCCCTAAATTTCCCGGCTCCTCCAAAACTCGGGGGTAAGTATAAATGATTCGTTAAAAAATGACTACAATTAGCATCTAGTATATACTGGGGGACCTTGAAAGTGAAAAACCGTTTATATTTTATATGTGGCTCTAACACTTCGTTCATTACGATGCATGTTTGATCTATCGGATCTTTTTGAGTTGTAGGAAGGTTTTCATTCACCAATGATGCATTTAAATCAACCATACTTATAATTTTATGCGTCAATTTGTCATCGTACTGGTAGACTCCTTCAAGAAGAATATATAACACACTGAAAGCTATCCTCTCTGATGAGGTATTTTCAATTATTGCATATCCGTATATATAATCGTCTTCTTTATATTCTTTAGTATCATCCTTAAAAATTTGCGGTTCTTTTCCAATGACACTCGGGGTTTCTGTCAATTGGATATCAATCTTGATATTCTGATTGTAATTCATCTTCAACTTATCTAAATCATTGAATCTTATGGTCTTCAGAGTATCAATCGAAGTCCTGCTTTGATTGGGGGTTAAATGGTTCAATATTTGGTAATCTGGAGGTTCATCGTTACGCAAGTGTTGTAACTTCTTGTGCACTAGCGACTTATACATAGAATACAGAGGCAATATTGCCTCTGTTGAGTTTAAATGGTTGATTGGACCGACTTGTAATCCACTTGTTATCGACATGCTTGTTGAATCTTCATGATATTGCGGAGATCGCGGAATTAGATCTAAGCGAGATTTAATAGGAAGTTTTAAATCCTCGAAGCTATTGAGTCTGTTAATCTAACCTCTATCACAAACCTGCTAACAAAAACTTATTTAATTAGAAGTAGCTAAAGAAATAAGACAAGATAATTAAGATTTGAAAAATTATTGGGCTTAATAGGAGTATCCGGTTTCCGCTCATGCAGATGATTTATTCGTTAGCAAGCGCACGTCTGAAATATGAAAATTATTTATATTTATCTACGCTATTATTTGGTAATCTATATAAATGACTCTATCTACCGAACTTTTTCAATTCAAAGTACCTAAGTATCGGATAACTGATCCCACTGAGACCCATACATAACCACATTGCAATATCACCACCACTTTCACCGCCACAGAGTTTAGCTAAAGGTCCAACCCAGTAGACTTGGGACATACCTAAAGCAGCACCAGAGGCTCCGATGATAAAAGCACCGGAAGCTGCAAGACCTCTGGTGAGCTTATCGTAATCGTTCCAAATATTGAAGTTGTAGTGTTGATTTTTTCTTTTAGAGAATAAAATATAATGTTTTGTCTCCATGACTTCGTCTTCTTCTCTTGCGAATTCTTTTGTGTATAAATGCATAAATGGATCGGTTCTGAAAATAGTGTTTTCTTCTAGCAACATAATGAAATACATAGAAATCCAATAACCGATCATTGGTAAGAAATTACCCAAGATTTCTGCAAACTTATTTCTGCCAACTAAGGCACAAACCAAATAGACAATGGTAATAAAGAAAGCCCAAAGCCATCTTGGAACTTTTGCAAGACCGGATCCAGCAAGCTGGATACCAAATGCTGCAGAGTAAGTGTTGATAATATTATTGGAAATTAATGATAAGAAAATCAAAATTAATAAAAACTTTCCTCCAGCTCCCCATGGTTTAAAAACTTCGTTTAATAAGCCACCCATACCTTGATTATTATAAGCTTGGAACCAAGGTTCGAAGCTCAATGCAGCATTACCAATAAGTAAAGCAACGGTACCCACAAAAGTGGTTGGAATGAGAATACCGAAAAAAGTGATGGTGAAAATTTGTAAATCTGGGGTATTTTCAGGGAATAAAATATAGTAATCAGAGGCAATAGATCCCCAGGTTGATGTAATCGAATAACATAATGAAAAAAAGGATAACCAATTACCTTTTAATGTAACATGATCTAATCCCATGGTATCAGATAATGTCAAATATTTAAATTTTGGAGAAGCAACAACATATAATAATAAAAATGCTAAGTTTACCGGAATACTAAATAAAGTTTCTACTCTTAAAAGCTGTTTTATACCACCTATGGCAACTGAAAGGGAAATTACTGCAACTATAACAATACCAACAATTAACGATATTTTGCCATTACTGATACTATTCAAAATTTGGCCGCCAACTACTGAATTGACAACCGACCATCCCATCACACCAACAATACTCACAAGACTGACTAATTTGACAAACCACCAACCAAATAAAAATCTTGCTCCCACCATTTGTCTACATCCTGACCTAGGTCCCATCAATGAACAGTAAGCAGCAATAAAACAACCAAGCGTGTGTCCTATCAAACCAGCAGTCAAAGTTTTCTTCAAACCTAATTCAAATACAAATGGTCCCAAATAAAATGAAGACATGGAACTTAAACCTCCACATGCTGATAACCACAAACCTATAACTGAAATTAACTGCTTCGTACGATTAGTGGATCTCTCGTGGGCTTCAATTCTTTCAATACCCCTGGTCTCAACTCCAATAGCATCGAGTTTATCAGAAGCATTTCGAAGATATTTCCAGACCTTCCATTCTTTATTATGGCAGTTATTTGGTTCTGATCTTGAACCATATTCTTTGGTGGACACATGGTCCACCGCTTGGTCCTTTGCAAAACCCATCTTTAGAATGAATGACAGTAGCAAGCTGCTTTTGTAATACGAAGTTCTCCAGATTGATAAAGATTTTTTTTTTTTTTCATTGACTCATCTTCGAAAATTTTAGCGAACTGACATTTTTCGTTCTTTAGATTGAGATTCAATATACTTACCATAAAAAAATAGCCTGATCAGTATTTTAAGTGAACAATTTGAATGCTAGAATCTAGTTCGTATTGTCACCTTAAATTCCAATTGTAGGTTTGCCGTAAACTAAGGTTTGGGAGAAAGCAAAAATATAGGAAAAATTAAGCCCAACGCGGGGCTCGAACCCGCAACCTTCTGATGATCTCAATTAATAAGAGTCAGATGCTCTACCGATTGAGCTAGCCAGGCTACTTTTTGTTTCTAAATTTGGACCTAGTCTTCTATGTCAAAGATTGAATAAGGATGTAAAAAAGTTTGCACACAAAACTTTTTCTCAAATACCCTTATATTCAACTTATTAATAGCCTTTTAGAGAAGCTACAATAATATTGGCTACAAAAAATTATATATGAGTAGTATTTTCTGAGATATACATAGACAAAATTTCAAATAAAAAAAAAAACGAAAAACTTCACCAGAAAAACCGGCCAAAGTCTTCCCTGTTACCACTCGTGGTAGCTCAGATCAATACGGAGATACTTTAGCATAAGAAAATTGACATAGTATAATACATTTCTATTTATTTCATTTTTGTCGAATTTTTTTGAAAATATATGCAAATTCTAGGAAAATTACCAAAAAACTTTGAATTAAGGTAAACAAACTACGGAAAAATCAAAAATTCATCAAAGTTACAAGAATAAGTCCTGGTCAATATATGATGCAAAGAAAATACGAACAGACGAATTGTTTTTATTAAAATGTACACCGGGAGAAATAAAAAATGCAAAAGTTTAGAGTGACTGGACGTCAATGCAGTATAAATAAAAGTTAGAGAATAAATAAATAAGTGATAAGGATAATAGCAATTTAAGATACTGATTTCTTAGCTTGACGTAGTTTCAGAACCATATCCCAATTTTCTTCTAATTTAGCTTCGTAAATTTTACTTTGAATTTGGGATTCCCAAGCAACGAAAGAATTATAACTGGAGAAAAACTTTGGTCCATATTCATCACGATAATTCAGATCCAAATCTTTAGTAGTACAGTACCAGAACCCATTTCTCTTCCAGTAACCATGGCCTCTCAATTTATGACATAAGTTCAATTCTTGAACCGTGGGAACTGCTTTGGCCGAAAGAGTATCAGCTTTTTTTTCAAAATTTTTTTTTTGTATATCTTGGAAGTAAAGAATTGGAACTAGCATCTTTAAAAAATCTCTAGGTATCCATCTTGTTAGAATTTCCATATCAAAACTCAAATGATGATGGTCAGTGTCTAAATTTGTGGATTTCTTTGGAAATGAACTCGAAAAAGATGATACTCTTTCAGGACATATCCCATTGACTCGACCATAATTATATTGAAACACCTCGGAATCCTTAGATAAGAAATCCTCCATTCTTTTCTGCAAAGAGTTTTGTATATTACTCAAGCTTGGATCCTGGGTATCAAGTGATTTTAAAATTAAATCTTCTTCACTTTCGATAACTTCGTCAAACATATTTATATTTTTAATTGAATATACTCTATCATTCCAAACGCAAGACAAAAGGGAAAAACTAGTTATATAAATTCTATGAGAACCCCTGAAGTTAAACTTTCTTCTTAATGGCTGATCTTCCATTATATTTAAGTCATCATTAGAAAAACCACTGTCAACCGACTCGGCACCGCATCGAGTAAAGTCCGGCAAAACGGATTCTCTTTTCGGAAACCAATCGCGAGAATGTTTCAGCTGCGAAAAACAAATAGAATAGTAGTATAGAATAGTAGTATAGAATAGTAGTATAGTAGTATAGAATAGTAGTATAGAATAGTAGTATAGTAGTATAGAATAGTAGTATAGAATAGTAGTATAGTAGTATAGAATAGTAGTATAGTAGTATAGTAGTATAGAATAGTAGTATAGTAGTATAGGATAGTAGTATAGTAGTATAGAATAGTAGTATAGTAGTATAGAATAGTAGTATAGAATAGTAGTATAGAATAGTAGTATAGAATAATAGTATATTATTAGAGGTTTTACATAGAAGTTTTATTAATTGTAATATTTGGCAACTAGTTTGCAGGCTTAAACATAGACTTGAGTAAAGAAACTTTTTCCTTTACTCGTTGCTTCAATTGAGCCAACTTACTGGCTTCAGTGATTTTTTCTAATTCTTCTTCAGTTATAACTTTCTTAGTTAACAAATTGAATACCGAACCAAACGCTAATGACATCACTGTACAAGTTAATATGATGACATTATAAGGCATCGAGAAATCTGGGGTCGGAAGACTGAGAAGTAAACTGGTAGTTCTTAATTGGTATACCGTTTCCGATTCGTCGTTTAAAATTGAAATAACTGCAGGTTCAATAGTGAAGCCATGATTTGCATCAGGAGGATACTCAGCATATAATAATAAAGATTTATCAAATTGGAAAGTCATAGCTAATGATCCTCCTGCCGGTATTTCAATCAAAAATTCTAAATGTGAAGGTCTAACCCGGTCAATGGCCGGTTTATAATATTTTTGTTTAATGAAACCATCTCCTTCCAAAGTTAAGGTATGTAAATATAATCTAATAAACCAAGGTAAACTTTCGAAATAAACAAATTGAACTGGTTTATCCGGGAATGGATTTCTAAAAGAAACACGAACCCCACCTTGATCTTGTGAATAACCAGTCAATGACCTAGAAACGTGTAATGGTGGTGAATCAACCGGTAAAGTGACGGTACTGTTCTCGGTCTCAAATGAAAAATCATAATCAAATGAATCGTCTTCAATGTTATATTGAATACGTGATTTAGAACCATCATTTAAAACAAGTGATTCAAAAGAATCTCCTTCACTTTTTTCAACATTGACATTCCAATGCTTAGGCTCAACATCAATATAAACTATTGAGGAATTAGGATCATCTTTAAATGCAGGGCCCTTGATTTTTTTACCATAAATAAGTTCTAAATTCCATGAAAGATCAGTTGGATCAGGAAGAGGGAAACATTTCCAGATATCATGTTCTTTTTCCAAATCACAACGTAAATCTTCTCCACGAGTTGGTTTAGGAATCCCACCTTCTTTGGATCTACGGAGAGATCTGGTAATATCAATAACAGAATTTATACTTTGATTCATTTTGAATTTACACTCATTTCCAAAACATTCTGATTTGACATCAATTGACATGGAATGCCATAAAGAATCGAAAACCTTATGTCCATCCAATAAACTAGAAATCCCTGCTTTACCTCTGGTGGGAATTAATTTAAGAAAAGGAGTCAAATTTTCAGTGCAAATTGGCTCACTTGGTAATGCAGCTCTTAATAAAAATAATTGATTACTTGGATCTGCAACATAATTTTCTTCTCTTGATTCTGTATTGAATTTCGGTAATGTGGTAATTGAATCATCAATGAAATTTAATGATGCACAAAAAAATCCTGATAATGACTCTGCTAATTTAAACCAATTTTTTTTAGCTGACTCCAAATCAGGAGCTTCGATCACCGTCCACATTTCCACTCCAGTACCTCCGCTTTTAAACCCATCCAAAGGAAGACTGCCCCATGATTTAGAATCCCACCATCCTTGAGTGAATCGTAAATGTAATTGTCTAGTATTTGTAGACTCTATGATAGGTCCCAATGTTCTTGGGAAATATGTATAATGACTCGATTTGAATTGTAACTGTGATTCATCTTTGGCGCTATCATTAAAGTAATCAAGTCTTCCTGGTAATGATTCAACTTCAAATTGAAATGATGCCAACAAACCATTTTTAGGTAATGGTTTTAAATGTAACGATTCTTGAAACGGCTTGCTTGCCACCACAAGAACACTCCAAATGAAAAGCAGTAGTATGCTTGCTGCTACCATCCTGCCACTATCTAATCGTTATTGATATCTGCCTTCTAATTTGAATATGTCTTATATTCAAATCAACACCATGTCTGCTTCATTTTTCAACGCGTTGTGCAAAAAAATACGACATTTTTCAGTTTGATTATTTGTGTCGCAACATTATTTACATCAAATCTAAATAATCAAAACATTCAATCTTCACTCTTTAGTATACAAATTAGTCCTATGATGGCAACGAGGACAGTGGATATGGCATCCATTGAACAACAGAAAGAGAACATAACTCCCATGCCGGGTGGAAGACTGGCATCAAAGCTAGCGGCCAACTTTAATTGTGCATCTAAATCGGTATCTCAGTTCAAACAACAACAACAATTGCAAAGAGAACAGTTCGAATCCAAGTTATCGGAAGTTGAAGAATTGGATGACCCTCTAGAAGTCTACGTGGACTATATTAAATGGACTCATGATAATTTCCCACAAGGATCAAACTCAGAAAGTGGATTACTTGCATTACTTGAAAGATGTACTTCTTGTTTTAGAGATGTACTATACTATAAAAACGATCCTCGTTACCTTAAGGTTTGGCTAGAGTATAGTAACTATTCCGATTCTCCAAGAGAAATATTTGTATATTTGGCCAAGAAGGAAATCGGAAATCAACTTGCATTATATTACGAAGAATTTGCCCAGTATTTAGAATCAGCAGGTAAAATAAATGACGCTAGACAAGTATATGAAATTGGTATTGAGCTTAATGCTCGTCCTTTTCTAAGACTTGAAAAATCATATAAAAAGTTTGAAGAAAGAATGATGCTACGAAATAACGCCCCTGATTCAAATACATCATCTTCCATAAGGGATGTGCTTTCCGTTAAAAAGGGGAGCAATTCTGATTCCATTGGCAATGAAAATGATGGTTTGAGCAGTAGCAGAAAAAGACAGAAATTACAAGTTTTTAATGATGAAGAGTATGAACAGAAACTACCAAGTTTTAAAGAAGCACTTTTAGATACTCTGGGACTGAAGGACCTTGGAACAATCAAGGCCAGAATCAAAGAAAACGTATTAAGTCCCAAACCATGGAAGGGCGAAATAATTAAACAAAAGACTGAAAGTAGCAGACCCAATAGCTCCAAATTTGAAGTTTATAAAGATCAACCAGAATCGCAAGAAAATTATGAAATCATAGAGGATTCAGATAATCTTGCATATACTATAATACACCAACCCGGTAAAAATACAGAAAAAGTTAGTCTTAACATGAAGCTTGTGTATCCTTCCCCAGAAGAAGAGTATTGCTTTGAAGAAATTTTGGCTATGTCACGTCGTTTTGACAAACTACACATAAAAAATGAAAATATTATACCCAATGAAAATTTCTCTTATCCAGTG